TTAGATCCAACTCAAAGCACACCCTCACTGAAAGGAACAGCTGTTCAATAGGAGTTCCACAGGGGGTAGGGTAACCATTGCTTTATCTATGCATTATTCATTCTTTATAAGCCACGGAACATTTTGTGTATAAATTGTCAACATAAAAACTAACAGCTTCATTTTCCTGACCAGGATCAAGAATGTAAAAAACACCATGACACCGATTTGCCCCTGGGTAGCAGGTGCTAGGAATTAGTTACGTTCAGTGTTTGGGAATGTGTGAACTGACTCTTTGCCAAGCTTTAGCTACAAAGCACCTGAGAGAATATTAAAGGTAATTCTTCCTGATAGAAGGGAGATTGGCTGACTACCAACAGTCCTCTTCAACACCGGGAAGCAATGATTTTATTGTACTAAGATGTCTCCAATCTCCTGCTAGCTCTTGCTTCCCTGGCCAATGTTTAAAGTGCATACTCAACATCAGTGATGTACTAGGTGTCGCGGTGAATATAAAAATTCCATAGCCTCTTGGCAGGGCCAAATCCCAGGGGAATGAAGAAACTTACCAGTAAGCTCAAACCAGGCAAATACACCCAGGACATATCTTGAGGGTATGCATGGAAGATATGTTATAGAGGAGAAGGAAAAGAGCCATGTAAATTCATTTCCAAGAGGCAACTGGGTTTTATAAATGACTGCATGTCCACAAAATGTGCCTTTGGGAAGCATCCTTTGAGGGTTCCCATGTCACAGTAGGGTGTGGCCACTTTTTTTGGGTGGTGAGCCTGCAGCTCTGTTCTCCCAGAAGTGAGAGGGATGACTCAACAGATTAAACACTTTCCCCTTCCTGAATGCTTTGCAAATACAGTTCAGGGATTCTACGGAAGTACTGACTTGGCATGGTTGTCATTGTGAGCTGGTAGAATCCTCTTGACTAATCCTGGATAGACAACCTTCCCAGGTGACAGTGAACAAGACTCACTGGATCGTTCTACCATCTTACTTTACCATTCTTCAATGGGACCTCATAGCTTTTATGTTTATTTAAAAGGTTATTTTTTAAATTCAACTGTAAAATTCCAAATAGAAAAAATATTACATAAATTACAGCCTCTGGAAATCTCTATATATCTACTCGCTTTCAGGTAAACCATTATAACCCCAATTTTCAAAAAAGGTTCCCGGAGAGGTCAAGTGATTAGTTCAAAACTCCATGTTAATAAGCTCACTGAGGGGGAGCGTGTCCTAGATACATCTAGGATTTCATTCCCAAGCATAAGCAAATGGAATAACAGCTCTGAAAAAATAAGTAATAGCGTGAAAATTGTTTGGTGACCTTCTGGACAACAACAGAAGCCATCCCACAAGGCAAAGGTCTACAGAAGAGCAGAAGTGAGAAAAAATTCTCAAGATCACAAGGATGGAGTGAGAAAACTACTACAGTGTCAACAGCCACACTCCCTAGAGTTGATGTTTCACATGAACAAGGTGCTGCCACACTGTCAAAGCACATTATAAGTCTGTGCAAGCAAATCTCCAAACAAGTCTTTTTAAAAATTTTTGGTGCAGAAGCAAAAGATAAGCCAAAGAGAACATGGAATTCAATGGCAATATCCAGCAAATCCACCTTTAAAAGAAAAGACAAGATAAAGGGCAAGGCATGTAGACCAGAATCTGTCCTTTGGAAATGTACCCATTCAGAAAGATAAGAAATGCACTGTAAAGAAGTCCATTCTAGAACCGCTGCTGACAGCGAGTCCTGGGAACAACTTACATGTTTATAGCAAAAGGGAAAATTCAAAATGCTCAGAGAGATTAATTACTCTTAGGTAATGAGAGTGGGGAGAGAAAACAGCAGTGTGGTCAGAATTTCTACTTTTTAGTTGTATAATCTCTCTAGATTGTTAGTTTTCTTTTCTTTATTACTTATTTTATTAAAAAATTATAAAGTTTAAAGTCTAATAATAAAAAACCTGTTAAGTTTGGGGAATCAAGTCTCAGTGTTGAGAGAGGTCTCAGAGGTCTGTCTAATCTAACCTTAGCTGCATTCACGGCAGCACGGCTATCTGTGCGCTCCTCTGTCTGGGAGGAACTTGACCTAGAGACTTAGCACCGGTGCATGGCACCTAGTGCTTCCCCAAAATCAAATCAGCTTTGTGGTTTTCATGAGCCACTTCTGCACTGCTGGACATTCATAACAGCAGGGGCTCCAGTAAAGCCCACATCCACATGGGCGGAGCCAGATCCCGAGTAATTCTGTAGTCAGCCTCAGAGGAGCTTGAACACAGAAGGCGGCAGCCAGCTCTAAACCAGCAGGCTGATGGTGTGGCACATTCTCTAGCGCACGGCTAAGTCTGTCTATTCCGCATCACCATCAGCATGCCCGTCATGGGGCATTCCTCAAGCCATCTTAACGAAGTGCTACTTACTGTCCTGACCTTGCTATTGTACTTACCAAGAGACAACCTTTCACACATTTCAGTAAATACAGGGATTTTCTTTGGTGCCTCCTTGATAGTCTGTCAAGGCTTATTACATCTTATTCCCTCGCTCTTGCCCCAGTTCACACCATGGATCACATCTGGTTTTGTTCCATGTTACTCTGATGGACACATCAGCATGTAAGTATCCACAAAACTGTCAGAACTTAATGTTACTTAATTTTATGCAGTACTCAAGATTGGGAGGTATGCCTTGAAAGGGTTGCCATTAGCAGCGTTTTAAGTCACTGAGATAGACTGAAAACAAGAAAAGTGCAATATTCTTTATCAATTCCTTCTCATAGCTGTTCTATAACCTAAGGCAGTGTCTTCCATATCTTGCTGAGGGTAGGTAGTCAATACATAGCACTATAAAATTATAGATTTTAAAAGTGAAGGAACCCCAAGGAGATCGGGTCCCATCATTTCACAGCTGAGAAATTTGAAACCCAGTTTCTTTTTTTTTTTTTTAAGTTTTCTTTTATTTATTTATTTATTTATTTATTTATTTATTTATACAAGCACTGGGTACAGTCAGAAGCGCGGGAGGGTGAGAGAATTCACCAGAGCCAGAGCGGGGAGCAGAGCAGGCAGAAGGACCGAAGTACACTGCTGAGGGGAGCAGCGGGCGGCAGGAGAGGTCTGCGCGCCATGCGGGACCCTCATCCGGTGGCCAGGGAGCAGCTGGGGATTGAACCGGTGCTGCAGAGGCTGCGGGCAGCTTCGCAACCCAGCGCTCAACCGCTGTGCCACCGGGGAGGCCCTCGAAACCCAGGTTCTTAAATTTGGGTCACCAGATTCTTTGTTAATGTCAATTATAGTCCAGATGTTCCTTCTCCAAGATCAGAGTCCTTTCTTCTGTCAGGTTGCTTGTCAGATGAATAAATTCACATAATAAAAGGAGATTTGGAAGAGACACTAAAGTAAATAATCTAGTAAATATAATTGCTTGGATAGACTATATTTGCCTAATTTCACTGAGTTTTCCACCTTCAGTGGATTGTTTGTGTTCCTAGCCTTAGACATTATTTTTACTTACTTAAAATTTTGGTCAAGCTTAAACACTCCAGACAAATCATATTTTAGTGTTAAACTCTGCTTTATAATCTTTGATAATGATGTCACCAGTTGAACCCAAGATATTTTTAGGTGTCTTTACATGTCCACGGTGAAGATATAAACTTCTCAAATTATGTCTTTATTATGTAATTGCTTCAAAGGAAAAAAAATTTTAAATCTAGTACATGTGAATGTTGATATAACTACACAATATTCACTAAGCAGCTCCTAAAATCACATTGGTCTCCAAGAATCCCATACTTGCCTTCAAATCCATTTTCTTTTTAACTGAACAACCACTTACTTGGCAGCTTTTGGGTCTGTTACTTTATTTTCTTGCTCATCCTTAACTTAATGATTTAAGAAAAGCAATAAGGAGATAAAACAGACCAAAAAAAAAAAAAAAAAAAAAAGAGAGAGAGAGAGAGAGAGAAAAGAAAAAGCAGAGATAAGCCAGCAAGTGGAATGGAGAAGTAGTCAGTTCCTGGAGGAAGAGAGAAAAGTGCCAGGCGTGGTCCGGAACTTGGGGCATCAGGGGTCCAGCTTTCTCTGCCCTCCCCCTCACTTCATCCCTCCCACCAAGAAGAGCGCGGCAATCTTACCAGTGACTTTAGACAAACAGAAAATGATAAAACTCCCAAACTGAGTCTTAGATACACCACTGCAGGCAAACCTGGAATCACAATGCCTGGAAGAGGGTATTACAGCCATTCCTGTCCCTCCACTGTGACTGCAGCTAAACGTCATAGAAAAATAACCTTTTGGAATTACAATGGGCCTCTCAAAGACCATCTGATTTAAACCTTCTTTCCCCATTTTTCAGAAAAGAAAACTGACATCCAGAGAAATGAGGTCACTTGCCCAAGGTTATTTAGCAGGGCCAAACTAGTTCCCCTAACTGCAGACTTGCTGTTCAGAGCTCTTCCCTCTCTAAGCAATTATAAGCCATGGAACATGCAGGCAACATTTAGCTTTGCAGAGATGAAGAGCAATTGCAAAGAAGCACAGGACAAGATGAGAAACTAATCCAAAATAATAATTCCATCCCTCCACCCCAAACCCAGGGACGAAAAATGTCCCAGAAGGCTGATTTATGGAGTCATGATACCTCAGTCCATTTAATTGTCCTTTTCCCTCCTTTATCCATTTTACATAGGCAGAGAAAATAAATATGTATGTATACTGCTGAACCAAAAAGACCAAAAGCATAGAACCGAAATCAAAACGTGTCTTTTGCTATCTGAGGTTTGGGGATTAACAAACACAGTTTTCTGACCCAAGGCTAACAGGAATCTTGTTATTAGAATTAAAATAACAAGTCATTCAATGAGCCTCCAAGCCCAGGGGAAATTAAATGCCTCCCACAGAAATCAGACCTCTCTCCTGACCTGCCCAGGTAAGCACGCTTTATCAGTGGCATAAACACAGACTTTCATTGCACAGACTGTTAGCCAAGAAGCTAACATTTCAAAACAGCACTTGAGAAAAAGAGAAAAACTTTTCCTTACCCTTAAAAATAACAGAAACGATAGGATCCGGTTTCCCAAATTTCGTTTTAGGGATATTGCTGGCAGATTCCACGATCACTCGAAGCATGGCTCCGTAAGGGCAGAAAGCGAGTTTCAGCAAAAGACCATTTGCCAAGGAGACTTGGGCCCTGGAACTCCTGGCTGTGCCTTCCCGGGAGAGCCAGCGGGGAGGATTTCTCCAGGGAAGAGGGGAGGGAGAAAGCAAATGGGTGGATCTCTGACGGATTATTTACTGCAGGCTACGTGTAAACTGATAGCCAAACTTCCGAGTCTACGCAGCGTCGCGAGCACCCCTGAAGAATTCGGAAACGTGGAAGTGAAAAGGACAAAGCCTCAACTAAAAATAATTATGTGCAACAAATGAAACTGCAGTAAATTGGGGGCTAATATTGTGGAAAGGTCAGGAGACCGCTAACAGGCTACTGTCTTTTAGCAACAATTTGTGAAACTGAATTCATTGGTTTTCAGTTTCTTTTCCATTATTTTCTTAACTTCATAGAATTTTAAAAACTTTATGAGTCATTTATTGCTATTATTATTTTAACTTTTGCTGTTTCTTCTCTCGGGCTGTTGAACACACCCACTCACCAACCACTTATAGGAAAGCTAAAATAATAATAAAAATCAGTCCAAGGGTGCCCCCCACTGTATGACAGAGGAATTACTGCGTTTATTTCACGCAAACCCAATCTGGACATGTAAAATTGGTGTGTTGAGGAGCTGATCCACTGCACCAGAGGATTTCTGTAAACATTCTATTTTTAAAAAAATATTTACTTATTTATGCATACAAGAGCTGGGGTGCAGGCCAGAGGTGCTGGGGGTGGGGGGTGAGAGGATTCACCAGCGACAGAGTGGGGAACAGAACAGGCAGATTGACTGAAATACACTGCTGAGGGGAGCAGGGGGTGAGACAGGAGAGGTCTGCTGCATCATGTGGGTTAGCTCCCTGGCTGGGATTAAACTCGTGCTGCAGTGACTGCAGATAGCTTAACAGTGCTGATGCATAACCCCTTGAGCCACCAGGGAGGCCCTGCAAACATTCTTTTGATATCTGAGAACTTGTTTTTCCTGGCCCATCAAATGCTATTAACAGTCTCAATGAACTTGGAGAAGTACCTCTCCACTCATTCAGGACCTTCACCCCAGTGGTGTCTTCCCTTCCTTTGTTAAAGAAAAAAAAATTCAGCCCTGTAGAAGGAAGACTTTATTCAAGGGATGGGGGGAGAAGGGGGCTCTATGAAAGGCATAGGGAGCACTGCAGTGGAATTTTGCAGCAGAGGAGAGATTGGTTTCACGCCAACAGAGCATGGGAAAGTGCAGATTCATGGCCAAGGCTGGGCGGAGGTCAGTGGACAGAGGAAACCACAGGGGATTCTGGCTACACCATACTAACAGGATTTTTTCTGAACACAGATCAGGGTGACCAGGCATCACCTGAGAAATGGAAGATACCGACAGTGATCAGATATGGAAGCTGGGGCATTCTGGTTAAATCGACTTAGCAAGTTTCTTGCTAAAACTAAATTTTACAAGGAAGTGTATAGATGGGCCCAGAAGACAGTGCTGGAGTCTGTCTAGAGTTTGGTCAAGGAGAGGTGCATAAGGCAATATGGGATGGAAGATAAGATTCAAGAGCAGGCCTGCATGCATCCCTGCTGAATCACTTCTGAGTTATGTCACCTTAGCAAGTTTCTGAAACCCCTTCTTTCTTAGTTATCTCTTCCCTAAAATGGGGATGAAGGTTGTCATGAGATAAAAGTCTTAGTACAGGACCTGGCCTATAACATGCAGTAAGTTACGTGTGTACACAACCAAAATTTCATGCTTATTCGTGATTTCAGGACATTTCTGTCAATACAGGTTGGCTTCAAATAGGATCTTATTGTGTTTCAGAACAAAAGGCTAAAGCTTAGAGTGAAGAAACACAGGGCTTCCTTTTGCTTTTGAACACACAACCAAGAACAATCTGTAAGTGAATGCTTCAAATGCTTTAAGAAATTCTGTCTCAATGAGTTTCTCAAAAGCTTGTCTGAAGAACCCAAAGCTATAGACATTACTACAGAGTTTACACAAAGTTTCAGTATAGACAACATTGTGTTTGTGCTGTTTGGGTGACTAATTTCTCCTTTTTAATTATAAAATACATTTACAGAAAAAATGCATACAACAGAAATATGATAATTTAACAAACATCCAGGTTAAGATAGAGAATATTGCCAGACTCTAGAAACCTATCACATATCGGAAATGTCCTATCTTTCTTTCCCCAGAGCGATAGCTATTACCTTGACATATAGGGTAATAATTTCTGTGCTTTTCTTTATAGTTTTAACCCAAAAATTGGTTTAGATTTGCTTGATTATATCTTTTACACAAACATATACATTATTTTATATATTATAAACATTGTGTGCACATATACTTACATATATGTATATATACACACACATATATTCATATAGTATGGATTATTTCATGTATTATATAGAAACAGAATATACAGTATGTTTTTGTGTGTGTTTAACTTCTTTTTTTTAATCGTTATGTTTTTTGTTGTTGTTTTTTACATTGTGAGATTCATCATGTAGCTCTACTTGGTTCACTCTTATTGCTAAATGCATTTCACTTTATATGAGTAATACATTTTATTAATCTATTCTACTCTTGATGAATATTTGGATTGACCAGACTTTGGTGTTATAACAAAGAGGGCATTCTAAATGTTCTTATATGTTTCCTGGTACATGAAGTGCATTTAGGGTCTAACCTGTGAGTGAAATTGCTGGGATCAAAGGGTACATGCATGTTGTCACCTTTCCTAAGTAATTCAAAATTGTTCTCCAAAGTGGCTGTACTATTTACATGTTCGCCAGCAGTATATAAGACTTCCCAGTGCTCTATGTTCTTATCACACTTGGCAATGTTAGATTTTTAAATGTTTTCCCAGCTGGCGAGTCTACACTAGTATTTCACTGGAGCTTTAATTTGCATTTTTCTGATTACTAATAAGGTTGAGTACCTTTTCTTATTTACCTTTCCTAATTTGTGAAGTGCCTATTCAAATCTTTTTTAATTTTTCTATTGAATTCTCTGTGATTTTCTTACTTATTTGCAGGAGATATTTATATGCTCTGAATACTAGTCCCTTGTAGACTGTAATTTTAATGTAATTGAATTTATCAATATTTTCCTTATTAGTGCATTTTTCATATGAAGAATTCTTTCCTACACTGAGATCATGAAGATAGTCTTTCTTATTCTATATTTTGTTTCATCTTGCACATTTCGATTTATACTCTATCTGTAATTGATTATTCATCATGTAAGGTTCATGGTCATTTTTTCCTATATGGATATTTGATATCCAAAAATATCAAATATCCTATATGGACATTTTTTCCTATATGGATATTTGATTGGTCCAGTACCATTTATTGAAAATTTTGTCCTTTCTCCAACCTTATATCATATATCAGTGTGTGTGTCTATGTGTGTGTGTGTTTGTATGCTCTCTACTCTGTTTTGTTAATCTTTTGGCAATCTTTGCACCAAGACCAATCTGACTTAATTATAGCCTTTTGAAAATTTCATATTTTGAGCAAATCCTCCATTCTGGTTATTCTTCTTCAAGTTTCTTAGCTGTTTTTGCATTTTAACATACATATCATTTAAAATGCTTCAAATTTATTAAATTTTGTATAGATTGTACTGTCCATATTTTTCTTCCAGATCTGACGTCAATACAGATCTGGATTGCATGTATTTCAATCCAAATATACACTATTTCACTTCATTTGTTTAGATTTTTTAACATCTCACAGTAAAATTTTATAACTTAACTACAAAGGCCTTAAACATCTTTTTTTTTTTTTTAATACGTTGGAACTTGAAATTTATTTCAGCTTTGAATTCTTTAAACATATAAAAAATAACTAGTGTAATTAATATCTGTATGCCCATATCTAGATTTAACTGTTTAAATTTTGCCATGATCATTTATCTGTCTAGGTATTTTAAATAAAACATTTTAAAGATGTTGCAGCATGTACCTTTAAGAGAGATGTTCTCCTACAGTATCATAATAATATGTTAGACCTGTGTGTATTCAAAGTCCCCAATTATGCTAAATACTAATTATACTCAAATATCTCATTTAGCTTTTTGGTATATTTTTAAACAGGACTCAGTTTGTACACAGATTTTGTCATGAAAGGATGTTGCATTTTTTCAAACTTTTTTTCTGCCTGTATTGATGTGATCATGTGACTTTTAACTTTCATTTTAATGATGTGATGTGCAATATTTACTAACTTATATATGTTGAATCATCCTTGCATCTCAGGGATATGTCCCACTTGGAGATAATGTTTAATCCTTTTAACGTGTTATTTCGTTTGCTAATATTTTATTGAGAATTTTTGCATCTATATTCATCAGGGATATTGGTCTATAGTTTTCTTTTCTTGTGAAAATTCTTACCTGGGTTTTGATATCAAAATAATGATAGCCTCACAGAATGAGTTTGGACGTGTTCCCTCCTTGATACTTTGGAAGAGTGAGAAGGATTATGTTAATTTTTTAATACTCAGTATAATTCTCCAGTGAAGCCATCTACTCCTGGGAGTTTTTTGATTGGTGATTCAGCCTTTTTATTCATTATTCATTATTGGCCCACTAAGATTTTCTGTTGCCTTCTTGATTTAGTGTTTGAAGGTCGTTTTTAGAAATGGACTGCTACATGTTACCCTTCAGTAGTTTATGTAATGTTCCTTCTTGATTTAGTCAGGTCGTTTTTAGAAATGGTTCATGTAATTTGTTGGCATAGAGTTGTTCATATATTTTTTATGTTTCTAGATATTTCTGCAGTATCAGTTATAATGTCTTTTTTTTTTTTAAAAAAAGATTTATTTATTTATTTATACAAGCACTGGGTACAGTCAGAAGCGCGGGAGAGTGAGAGAATTTACCAGAGCCAGAGCGGGGAGCAGAGCAGGCAGAAGGACCGAAGCACACTGCTGAGGGGAGCAGCGGGCGGCAGGAGAGGTCTTCGCGCCATGTGGGACCCTCCTCTGGTGGCCGGGGAGCAGCCGGGGAGCGAACCGGCGCTGCAGAGGCCACGGGCAGCTTCTCAACCCAGCGCTCAACCGCTGCGCCACCGGGGAGGCCCAATGTCTTTATTTTTAATTTTATTTAGTTGAGTTGTCTTTTTTCCTTAATTGGTCTATCTAACTAGACCAACTAGTTTTGCTATTTATTTATTTATTTTGGAAGAAACACCTAGTTTCATTCATCCCTTGTGTTG